TGAAACAGGCAGCGATCATTAGTGGATGCTAAAACCATTAAGTAAAAGGTTGTAGGGAAATGGCATATTTCCTTGTGCCAAAGTATCCAGAGATTACTTGCAAACTGCAAAGAGGGAAAATATACTTTTTCTGTGGAGGGATCCAGTGGTCACAATATTAACCAAAAGACCAGATTTAGCATTACTGAAAGTGAGACAACCAGTCATTGTGTTCCTGATGGAGCACAATGGGATGTACACGCCTTTACCCACAAAGTGTTCTGGCCGTTGTCTAACCTGAATGTGACCATGAGTTTAGACCTAACTTCCACTGTGCAGGAAAACAGAGGAGAGAGGAATGAGCTAAATAATGCCATGAGGAGCCAATCAGATGAATCCAGAATGTAGAGTTGACCCTTGAACAACACAGGGGTTGGGAGTGCCGACCCTCCAAAAAGTCGAAAATCCGAGTATAATTTATAATCTGTACCCGTGGTTCCTCTGTATTCGTGGTTCCCCTGTATCTGTGGTTCCCCAGCCTCGGATTCAACCAACCAAGGATCATGTAGAAGTGTAATATTTATTACTGAAAAAGAATCCATGTATAAGTGGACCCATGCAGTTCAAACCTGTGTTGTTCAAGGGTCAGCTGTACACATTCCACAAACTATCTGGCCAGATCTCTTTAAAAAGTCAGTGCCTTAGGTGGGGAGATTATTTTAGATTTAAAAAGACTAAAGGATATAATAACCAAATGTAATGTGTTAATTGGATCCTGGCTCAATAAACCAAATGTAAAAGACACTGTGTTGTGAAAATTTTGAATATGGACTAGATATCAGATAATATTAGGAAATAACTGTTAATTTTCTCTGGTGTAAAAGTGGTATTATGGTTATGTATGAGAATGTCTTTGTTCTTTTTTTATCTTTTACTATTTATTTAGGCTGCACCGGGTCTTAGTTCCAACATGTAGACTCTTAGTTGTGGCATGTGGACTTCTTAGTTGCAAACTCTTAGTTACATCATGCATGTGGGATCTAGTTTCCCTACCAGGGATCGAACTCAGGTCCCCTACATTGGGAGTGTGGAGTCTTACCCACTGGACCACCAGGAAAGTCCCAAGAATGTCCTTGTTCTTGGGAGATACAGGTTGAAGTATTTCCTGACTGCAGCTTAGTTTGAAATGGTCCGGCAAAAGTAGAGAGTTAGCCATATACACAGATAGATGAAGCAAATAGGCAAAAGAGTCACAGTTGTTGCCTCTAAGTTGTGGCCATGCTGATGTTCTTGAATTGGACTGTTGCTTCAATTTTTCCATACTTTGACATTTTTCAGAATAAAAAGGTTTAAAACTGTTGAAGAAATAATGGGGAAAAAAAAGAAATAATGGAGCTAGAAAATCATAATTTTGCAACCATTCGAGTGGTAACTAATTAGGCAACAGTCATCCATGGATCCTAAAGCCAGTAGGTGAAAATTTGAAAACAAACAGGATATTTGGGGTCATCTCAGTGTATCTACCCATAGGTTTGGTTTTTTTTCCACACGGCTTGCAGGATCTTAGTTCCCCGACCAGAGACTGAACCTGGGCCCTCAGCAGTGAAAGCGCAGAGTCCTAACCGCTGGACCACCAGGGAATTCCCTCCCATAGATTTATTAGTTCCAAAAGGGGGAAAATGGTATTTTTACAGTGGAGAATAGCAGTACAAGAAGGGCACAACGCTGCTTCTGTGGTATTCTTCCCAAAATTTTATATTATATTAATGTTAAAATTCCTGAATTTGATAATAGCACAGTACTGGGTTATACATATTATTATTATTTTATATATCTCTAGAGAGAGAGGGAGTGATAAAGCAAATGAGACAAAATTTTATCAGTTGGTGAATCTGGACAAAGGGTACACAGGAGTTCTGTCTACTATTCTTGCAACTCTGTCATGTTTTAAATTATTTCAGAGTAAAAAATTTTTAGGAAGGGCTTCCCTGGTGGCGCAGTGGTTGGGAGTCCACCTGCCGATGCAGGGGACACGGGTTCGTGCCCCGGTCCGGGAAGATTCCACATAACGCAGAGCGGCTAGGCCCGTGAGTCATGGCCACTGAGCCTGCGCGTCCACAGCCAGTGCTCCACAACGGGAGAGGCCACAACAGTGAGACGTCCGCGTATCACAAAAAAAAAAAAAAAAAATTTTTAGGAAAACCTAAGTTAGACCTAGACTAGTTGGGGAGGCAGCTCCTAAAAATGTAGGGGTTAACAGAAAATTAAAATCTTTTTCTTAACTATTTTTTTTTTTTGGTTGCGCCGGGTCTTAGTTGCAGCCTGCGGGCTCCTTAGTTGAAGTACATGAACTCTTAGTAGAGGCATGCATGTGGGATTGAACCCAGGCCCCCTGCATTGGGAGCTCAGAGTCTTAACCATTGCACCACCAGGGAAGTCCCAAAAATTTAAATCTTGATAAAATAAAGTTACTTTTATTTAAATACCTTTATTACCTTGGCATTTCTTTTAGCTTTCAGGAATACTTGACTTCATGGAGCTGGCAGAACTGGGACTCCAAGGGAGGGGGTGGAATGTGAGAAGGCATGCATGCCCAAGTGACCGGGTTGCAAACTGAAGTCTGTTCCCACTCTGGTTCTCTGGTCAGTAGCCTTTCTTTCCAGTTGAGACTCCTCATTCTTATATGGAAGCCAGCTCCCCAAAGAGCTGTTGGGGAACCCATCAGACCCTCAGCGTCTGCCCAGCACTGGCACCCACATGCTTTATATCTCTTGGGATTGTTTTCCAATTATTCTGTCACCACCCTCACCTGGCTTAGACCACTCCATCCAGGCCATGACTGGCTTCCAGTTTTCTTGCACGTCTTTACAGTATGGTTTTAGCACAGCGCTGAATAAGGCATAAAAGCTCAATATATCATTTCTGATCCATTATTTTCAGAAAGCAATTAATAAACAGATACCTTTTGGCCTTCTAACAATCTTTGGGCTTAATGTGTAAGGGATATGAACAAACAAGCAAACAAACCAAGATAATTTATAAAGCAGATTTCAAACAAGTAGAAGTTTTGTGTTTTTTTTGAAGTATCAGGTGTAAACAAGTACAAGTTTTGACGACCAGTACTATCAAGCTGAAACCCAGAGATGAATTCCATTAGGAGTGGGAGAACTCCAGGGTCCAGCCTCCCTCTGGCCTTATCAATTCTCTTCCTGAAGGAGTTATTTACCTTCTTCAAGACTGTGTTTGCTGGTCTTCCCAAGTGGCCTGAAAACTTCTGGGAGAAGGGACAGACTTTGTGGTTTTGTCCCTGTGTGACCTCTCTCCAGTTTCTGCACACTCAGCTCTGCCCACTTGCTGCAGGCATCCCAGGCCCCACGGAGTCGCCCACACTAAATGCCTCAGCCTCAATCTTGTCGGAGAGAATGGTCCAGGGAGGTGGACAGAGCACAGCTTCAGGATCTGACAAACCCTGGACAGTAATTTATGGACAGTGTGACATGCTCAGGCAATTTACACAGCCTCTGAGCCTCAGTTCCTTCTTCTGCAAAATGGGGGTAGTGGGAATTCCCTGGCAGTCCAGTGGTTAGGACTCCATGCTTCCACTGCAGGGGGCACGGATTCAATCCCTGCTCTGGGAGTAGTAAAACTGACTTCTCCCCCAAAATGAATGGGTAGACTGTGATGACAGACCTCTGTACTTCATCCAGTGTTTAGAAACCTTAGTGACCGTCAGGGGCCATCTGTCCTGCTTCATCCCCTGTGTGTTGAACTACCCCTGGGGGTGGGTAGGGGTAGCTCATTCTGACTGCCTCCACTCGCTCCTTTCTATCTCCCCAAGTTGGTTCAGGTATAATCTGCTCAATATGAACAGCAGGTATCAGAGATGGATGTGCAGGACTCAATATTTATTCCCTAGGAGGCTATAAGAAGCAGGAGGCACCAACTCCAGAGCCAGACTGCCTGGGTTCAAATCCCAGCTCCACCATCTACAGCCCTGTGAGCTTGGGCAAGGTTACTTAACCTCTGTGCCTCAGTTTCCTCATCTATAAAACAGGAATGATAACAATGACACCTACCCTATAGGGTTCTTCCGAGGATTAAATGAGTTAATGCATAAGTATAGAGTGCTTTGCTAGTATTGCATTTCATTGAATCTGATACCCTGGTACACTAGGAAATTAAGATTGTTGCCAATTAAACTAGGACATATCATCAGTGGAACTGGAACTGAAATCACATATTGATTTCAGAAATGTGAAACATAACACATGTCAAAATAGATGAAGTACACTATTATTATTAGCATACTTAGCTGGAATACATTAGCATTAGAGTTAGGGGTCAAATCCCAGATTCACCATTTACTACCTGGGTGACCTTATTTATGCAAGATCCTGAGCCTCTCTGTGCCTCAGTTTCCTCCTCACCTGTATGTGCGGATAACATCAATAGCACCTACCATACATGACTGTTGGGGTAATTAAATATGTGAGGACTTAGGAAGTACCTGGTACACAGTAGGCACTATGATTGGTATTATTTAGAACAACGTTATTCTCTCCAGGTGTGGAGGTTGGCTGGGGAGAGAAGAGAGGACGAACCTGACTGGCTTTTTACGTAAAAAGGTCTTGGCCTCCGCTGCCCTCCCCAGTCTCGAAATGGTCAGGAGGGCCCAGGTGCCCCGCCCCAACCCGGCGCCCCGCCCCCGCCTCGCCCCGCCCGGCCCGGCCCCTGAGCTAGTCTCGCGCACTTTAAAAGTGCGCGAGCTCCGGCCGAGACCCAGGGCCGGCGGTTGGTCGGGCGAAGCCATCTATTATGCTACGTGGGGGGAGCTAAAAGCCTACGCCTCCACGTTTTTTTCCATTTTTAGCTTTTCAGGCCCAGGTTCGGTCCCCTTTTAGCCTTCAAGTCCGCCCCCTACACTCAGACTCCGAGAAGGGCGTTCTGACTCTCTAGGGAAAGGGTCGTTGTGTCTCTGTGCGGCGGCCTCCCCCTCTGGACGGGAAACCGGTGGGAGAGGACGACGGCCGGAGAGGGGAGGAGGCGGCCCTAGCGCCATTTTGTGGGAGCGAAGTGGTCGCTGGGCTGCTGTTGGATTCGTCGCTGCTTCAGTTTCTCTGTCGGGCTTCCTAGCAGCGGCCTAGCGGGTGAGTCGCGGACGCTTCTCACTGAGGACGCCCTGTGTGCTTCGGCTCCCGCAGTGGGGCGGCCCCCGCCCCGGGAAAGGAGCCGTGGGGCCGGGCTTGCTTCATTCTGCCCGAGCGGGCTCGCGTGGGAGCGACGTTAGGGCCAGTCGCGGGGTGGCAGCCGGCGCCGAAGCAGGGACGCCGGGCACGCGGAACCGTGCAGCCCGAGGCAGAGGTTTGGCCTGGCTTCCGAGCCCGGGCACTGCTTTGTGCCTTCGTACTTTGCGCCAGGACAGCGATTAGGCCTGGTGCCCCAGCGGTCCCACCCCGGCCGCGCTTAAAAACTCCTCCCACGGTTGTCACGCACTGGCTTCTGGGAGGTGGCGGTCCGCGTCGCGAAGGACCTGTCGCCGCTGTCACTGCGGCTCAAGTTTGGAGAGTCCCCACATTTGGAACAGGGAGGCACTTTTCCCTTGTTCTCTTCATCTCGTTCACTGCTTCTATTTAGTTCTCAAAAGACTTAGTTTCTGCATCGCTTACTGAGGGAAATCCACTTTGACGTTCCCCTCACACACATCTCAACCAGTTTAGTTTCTTCCCAGTCCCCAAGACTACTTTCCAGTGGCATAATCACGATTGTAATAAAGTAATTACTTGTTTGCTTTCTTTCTCCTGCTTATCTCCCCCTTTGCAACCAGCATGCCAGCTGGGACTGTGGTTTCACACAGTGAATAGTTGCAGCACCTGATGGATAGTAGGCACTCATCAAATAATGAATGAATGAACTAGCAAGGCATTGCATTTTAATAGGAATAGCTGTCTTTGCCTGTACCTCGTCATTTTTCAGGGATAAGCAACACCTATAAGAATCCAAACACCGAGAATTTTTCTGGCAGTCAGAACAATGACATGGTAGTGGTATTAGTCAGCTGGGATAATTACTTTGACACAATTACTTTGACACAAGTGTTGGTCATTCGTATCTCTTTTCCATTTAAGCAAGACAAGCAAAGATGTCCGAATATATTCGGGTAACCGAAGATGAGAATGACGAGCCCATTGAAATACCATCAGAAGACGATGGGACAGTGCTGCTGTCCACAGTCACAGCCCAGTTTCCAGGGGCATGTGGGCTTCGCTACAGGAATCCAGTGTCTCAATGTATGAGAGGTGTCCGTCTGGTAGAAGGAATTCTGCACGCCCCTGATGCTGGCTGGGGGAACCTGGTGTATGTTGTCAACTATCCCAAAGGTTTGTTGTCATTTGGTTTTGCAGTGATGCTAAAGTATAAACTATAGGTCTGTGCCTCGTTCTAAGTCATAGCTCATGGTCTCTTCATGGTGAACCGTCTCCTGTAGCCCAAGTATTTCTTTAAACGTTACCATCAGACAAGTTTGAAAGACCACTAGTTTACATTAGTGAAAATTGGAAATTACAGGACATTTTTTAAAGACTGTGTGTTTAAACAATTATCTGGACTAACGTTGCTGAGCTAATGTGAAATTTAAGGAATTAAGAATGCTTTGCAGTTGTACCAGTCTGTTGTAAACAGATTTTTCTGAAGTGCCTCAGTATTTTGGTTTGGTCTTTGTCCTTGCAGGCTTACATCACTCATCCAGCTAATCTTTTTTTTTCCTCCTTAAATGAACATCAGTCGCAGTAGCCCAAATCTTGAATTAGTGCAGTCGTAATTATAATTTTGGGTTCTGGTCTTATTCTCACTGCCCCTTATCAATGATGTTTTTAATCTAAAAGGAAGCATGAAGATGTAGAAGTGAGCGAAGGAAATGAGTACATTTTAGCAGTAGGAGTGTGCTAGTTGGTAGATCTGTTACTTTTTTTTTTTTTTTTTTTTTTTTTGCGGTACGCGGGCCTCTCACTGCTGTGGCCTACCCCGTTGCGGAGCACAGGCCCAGCGGCCATGACTCATGGGCCCAGCCACTCCGCGGCATGTGGGATCTTCCGGGACCGGGGCACGAGCTCGTGTCCCCTGCATCGGCAGGCGGACTCTGAACCACTGCGCCACCAGGGAAGCCCGTGTCTGTTACTTTTATTGTAACGTAATATTGCAACAAAGTCATATTATTTGGTCAGTATTTAAGACGTTGCATCAAGAAATTTTTTTATATATCAAGAAAATTCTTAATAGCATCAACTTGATTTTTTTTTTTTAGTATGTAGTTTCTTGATCCATTGGCTGTAGATTAATATTTACCCAAACTTAAAATGTCATTTATGTAGTAATGTGTCGATGTAGGTTCATGCTTGTGACAAACATACCACCCTGGTGGGGGATATTGATGCTGGGAGGGCTCTGCAGGTGTGGGGAGCGGGGGTATATGGGAAGTTTCTACCTTCCTCAGTTTTGCTGTGTACCTGACAGTACTCCAAAAAATGGTCTGTATGTCTGAATGTCATTTAGTTCCTCTTCCAAATACTGATTTTTTAAGATAACCTTAGGTTTCCTTTTTTTTTTTTTTTTAATATTTATTTATTTTTGGCTGCATTGGGTCTTTGTTGCTGCGCGCGAGCTTTCTCTAGTTATGGTGAGCGGGGGCTACTCTTCGTTGCGGTGCGCGGACTTCTCATTGTGTTGGCTTCTCGTTGTGGAGCACGGGCTGGAGGCGCATGGGCTTTAGTAGTTGTGGCTCGCAGGCTCTAGAGCACAGGCTGAGTAGTTGTGGTGCATGGGCTTAGTTGCTCTACGGCATGTGGGATCTTCCTGGACCAGGGCTTGAACCCATGTCCCCTGCATTGGCAGGCAGATTCTTAACCACTGCGCCACCAGGGAAGTCCAGGTTTCTTTTTTATTACAAAAGTAACGTGAGTTCATTGCTGAAAGTTTAGAAACGAAACAGAAAGAAAATTGAAATCACCCTTAGATCCACAGCTGGAGATAAAAGTTGCTAATTTTTTAGTAGTCTTCAAGTTATAGGCCTTAAAATAATCACGCAGATATATTTAATAGGCACAAAGATAGTATCACAGTTATTCAACCTGTTTTTTTTCCTTCCTTAATGTATTTTAAAGTGAAAGTGAAGTAACTTTTGTTTTGATACACCTTTTTAGAGGGGAGAACATAGCAATTGTAATCTTGAGACATTATGGAACCAGAGGTTGGAATCCCTAGATTGGCTCCAGAAAAGCACCTTAGCCACTTATTCAATTCTTATTCTGTCTGTGAGAGCTAACATCACTCTTTGGCAAAAGTTTCCAGCGTCTTAACTGTTCTGAGAATGTTTTTGCTTCTCATTTCTAGAAGAAGAGGGTGTGTGTTTTACGAAGTGTTTAATGAAAGTTCTGAAAGGTTTCTGCTCATTTTGTTTAGATAACAAAAGGAAAATGGATGAAACAGATGCTTCATCAGCAGTGAAAGTGAAAAGAGCAGTCCAGAAAACATCTGATTTAATAGTGTTGGGCCTCCCATGGAAAACAACTGAACAGGATCTCAAAGAATATTTTAGTACCTTTGGAGAAGTTCTTATGGTTCAGGTAAACTTTGATTTCATTCAACAGTTTTTCAGTGAATGAGCACCCAGAATTCTTGTTGTTTTAGTGACGCTGCCTTTCATGTTCAACAGGTGATATATTTTTTTTATAAGTTTTCTTGCTTTTTTTTTCTCCAAAGAAATTTATTTATTTTTGGCTGCATTGGGTCTTCTTGGCTGCATGTGGGCTTTCTCTAGTTGCGGCGAGCAGGGCCTACTCTTCGTTGCGGGGTGCAGGCTTCTCACTGCGGTAGCTTCTCTTGTTGCGGAGCATGGGCTCTGGGCGCACTGGCTTCAGTAGTTGTGGCACATGGGCTCAGTAGTTGTGGCTCACGGGCTCTAGAATGCAGGCTCAGTAGTTGTGGCACACGGGCTTAGTTGCTCTGCAGCATGTGGGATGTTCCTGGAGCAGGTCTCGAACCCATGTCCCCTGCATTGGCAGGCAGATTCTTAACCACTGCGCCACCAGGGAAGTCCCGATGATACTTTTAATATTTGTTATGTGTATACGTAAGGGGCGCTGAAAAGAAATATGGTTTATACTATTTCCCTTCATGTATGTACTCTGAGTTGGTTATGTGTGTGTGTGGTTTTAGTAAATTTAAATGATTTTTTTCTAGGTCAAGAAAGATATTAAAACTGGTCATTCAAAAGGGTTTGGCTTTGTTCGTTTTACGGAATATGAAACCCAGGTGAAAGTAATGTCACAGCGACATATGATAGATGGACGATGGTGTGACTGTAAACTTCCAAATTCTAAGGTACTTTGCTCTTTTTTTTTCTCTGCTTTGGCCATTTTTGCTGACAGACTTACTTAGAAGACACTGTAAAATAAAATGTTACAGTTGGAAAATGTAGTGGCAGGGTGTGTTCTTGAAATCTTTTGCCTTGTTAAAGTCTCAGGACCTTAATGCATGCTGAATATTTTATATGTTTGTTTGAAATATTTAGTTCATTGCTCCTCCAAACTAAAACGTTTTTCGTTTTGTTCTTCCTTTTCTCTTGTTATTTTTAGTGATTTAACAATTTCTTACATAGTTACATGTTAATACAGGCAATTAGAATATGTTAATCTTTTTAAAAACCTAACTTATTCCAAGCAAGCAAGACTTGCTTATTTGGAACATTATCATCTTTGCCAAGACATTTCTTAATCATCAACTTTCCTTAATCCAAATATACTTTCATCAAAGTGTAAGACACTGATGAAAGAAATTAAAGATGATACACACAGATGGAGAGATATACCATGTTCTTGGATTGGAACAGTCAACACTGTGAAAATGACTATACTACCCAAGGCAATCTACAGATTCAATGCAATCCCTATCAAACTGCCAATGGCATTTTTCACAGAACTAGAACAAAAAAGTTCACAATTTGAATGGAAATACAAAAGACCCCAAATAACCAAAGCAATCCTGAGAAAGAAAAACGGAGCTGGAGGAGTCAGGCTCCCGGACTTCAGACTATACTACAAAGCTACAGTAATCAAGACAGTGTGGTACTGGCACAAAAACAGAGATATAGATCAGTGGAACAGGATAGAAGGCCCAGAGTTAAACCCACGCACCTGTGGTCACCTTATCTTTGACAAAGGAGGCAAGAATATACAATGGAGAAAAGACAGCCTCTTCAGTAAGTGGTGCTGGGAAAACTGGACAGCTACATGTAAAAGAATGAAATTAGAACACTCCCTAATACCATACACAAAAATAAACTCAGAATGGATTAAAGACCTAAATGTAAGGCAAGAAACTATAAAACTCTTAGAGGAAAACATAGGGAGAACGCTCTGTGACATAAATCACAGCAAGATCCTTTTTGACCCACCTCCTAGAGAAATGGAAATAAAAACAAAAATGAACAAATGGGACCTAATGAAACTTAAAAGCTTTTGCACAGCAAAGGAAACCATAAACAAGACGAAAAGACAACCCTCAGATGGGAGAAAATATTTTCAAATGAAGCAACCGACAAAGGATTAATCTCCAAAATTTACAAGCAGCTCATGCAGCTCAATATCAAAAAAACAACCCAATCCAAAAATGGGCAGAAGACCTAAATAGACACATCTCTGAAGAAGATGTACAGATTGCCAACAAACACACGAAAGGATGCTCAACATCCCTAATTGTTAGAGAAATGCAAATCAAAACTACAATGAGGTATCATCACCTCACATCAGTCAGAGTGGCCATCATCAAAAAATCTAGAAACAATAAATGCTGGAGAGGGTGTGGAGAAAAGGGAACCCTCTTGCACTGTTGGTGGGAATGTAAATTGATACAGCCACTGTGGAGAACAGTATGGAGGTTCCTTAAAAAACTAAAAATAAAACTACCATACCACCCAGCAATCCCACTACTGGCCATATACCCTGAGAAAACCATAATTCAAAAAGAGTCATGTACCACAATGTTCATCGCATTTACAATAGCCAGGACATGGAAGCAACCTAAGTGTCCATCAACAGATGAATGGATAAAGAAGATGTGGCACATATATACATTGGAATATTACTCAGCCATAAAAAGAAACGAAATTGAGTTATTTGTAGTGAGGTGGATGGACCTAGAGTCTGTCATACAGAGAGAAGTAAGTCAGAAAGAGAAAAACAAATACCGTATGCTAACACATATATATGGAATCTAAAAAAGGTTCTGAAGAACCCAGGGGCAGGACAAGAATAAAGACGTAGACGTAGAGGATGGACTTGAGGACATGGGGAGGAGGAAGGGTAAGCTGGGACGAAGTGAGAGAGTGGCATGGACGTATATAAGGTAAAATAGATAGCTAGTGGGAAGCAGCCACATAGCACAGGGAGATCAGCTTGGTGCTTTGTGACTACCTAGAGGAGTGGGATAGGGAGAGTGGGAGGGAGATGCAAGAGGGAGGAGATATGGGGATATATGTATATGTATAGCTGATTCACTTTGTTATAAAGCGGAAACTAACACATCATTGTAAAGCAATTATAGTCCAGTAAAGGTGATAAAACATATATATATACTTTCGTCAACTTTAAAACTTTATTCTTCATTGAAGTCTTATAAGAAGTGCTAATGCAAAAAATAAGAATGTACCTACTTTTTAATGACTCATCTAATATAAAAGGCAGATAGGTTGTATTATATCTTCTACCATAATGCTGTTTTCATTGCTCATAAAATATTTCTGATGGTTTTCTTCCTTTCAATTTGACCAGCAAAGCCCAGATGAGCCTTTGAGAAGCAGAAAGGTGTTTGTTGGGCGTTGTACGGAAGACATGACTGCTGATGAGTTGCGGCAGTTTTTTTGCCAGTACGGAGAAGTGGTAGATGTCTTCATTCCCAAACCGTTCAGGGCTTTTGCCTTTGTTACGTTTGCAGATGATCAGGTATTTTCTCTTAATAATTTTGTCCCAGCTAATTAGGTAATTTCTGTGGAACTTTGCCCTTCCAGCTAATTGCCACCCTTAGCTAAGCTCTCTGACCTTGTACGCTGTGGGGTATATGGGCCTAAACATTTGTGGTAAACCCCTTAGATATTTTTTTAGTATGTGAGGTTTAAGTGGGGATGTTACATGTCCTTTGAAAAAGAACTAAAAAATCCCTGCTGCCATTACTAAAGCTAAAGGCTATTTTATGGTTTTAAATGAAATAAGTGTTCATTGCTTATTTTTTCTCCAGTTTAGATGATGGCTTGAAATCTAAGTTTTATTGCTACTTTGATGTATGAGTCAGTGGTTTAATCTCCTTTATTTGCATCCCTTATTTTTTTGTAGGTTGCCCAGTCTCTTTGTGGAGAGGACTTGATCATTAAAGGAATCAGCGTACATATATCCAATGCTGAACCTAAACACAATAGCAATAGACAGTTAGAAAGAAGTGGAAGATTTGGTGGTAATCCAGGTGGCTTTGGGAATCAGGGTGGATTTGGTAACAGTAGAGGGGGTGGAGCTGGTTTGGGAAACAATCAAGGTAGTAATATGGGCGGAGGGATGAACTTTGGTGCTTTTAGCATTAATCCAGCAATGATGGCTGCAGCCCAGGCAGCTCTGCAGAGCAGCTGGGGTATGATGGGCATGTTAGCCAGTCAGCAGAACCAGTCAGGCCCATCAGGTAATAACCAAAGCCAAGGCAACATGCAGAGGGAGCCAAATCAGGCTTTTGGTTCTGGAAATAACTCTTATAGTGGTTCTAATTCAGGTGCAGCAATTGGTTGGGGATCAGCATCAAATGCAGGGTCAGGCAGTGGTTTTAATGGCGGCTTTGGCTCAAGCATGGATTCTAAATCTTCTGGCTGGGGAATGTAGACATTGGGTTATCGTTAGTTGGTATAAACTGGTGGGAATTCAGATTTTTCTAAACTCATGGTAAGTATATTGTAAAATACGTATGTACTAAGAATTTTCAAAATTGGTTTGTTCAGTGTGGAGTATATTCAGCAGTATTTTTGACATTTTTCTTTAGAAAAAGAGGAAGAGCTAAAGGAATTTTATAAGTTTTGTTACATAAAGGGTTGAAATATTGAGTGTTTGAAAGGGAACTGCTGTTTGCCTGATTGGTAAACCAACACACTACAATTGATATCAAAAGGTTTCTCCTGTAATATTTTATCCCTGGACTTGTCAAGTGAATTCTTTGCATGTTCAAAATGGAAACCATTGGTTAGAACTACATTCTTTTCTCCTTGTTTTAATTTGAACCCCACCATATGGATTTTTTCCTTAGGAAAATCTCCTTTTTGGAGATCATGGTGTCACAGTGTTTGGTTCTTTTGTTTTTTGTTTTTGTTTTTTAACACTTGTCTCCCTTCATATACAAAAGTACAATATGAAGCCTTCATTTAATCTCTGCAGTTCATCTCATTTCAAATGTTTATGGAAGAAGCACTTCATTGAAAGTAGTGCTGTAAATATTCTGCCATAGGAATACTTCCGTCTTCATGCTTTCTCATTCAAGAATTCGTCACGCTGCACAGGCTGTGTCTTTGACGGTGGGTGTCCCATTTTTATCCGCTACTCTTTATTTCATGGAGTCGTATCAACGCTATGAACGCAAGGCTGTGATATGGAACCAGAAGGCTGTTTGAACTTTTGAAACCTTGTGTGGGATTGATGGTGGTGCCGAGGCATGAAAGGCTAGTATGAGCGAGAAAAGGAGAGAGCGCGTGCAGAGACTTGGTGGTGCATAATGGATATTTTTTAACTTGGAGAGATGTGTCTCTCAATCCCTGTGGCTTTGGTGAGAGAGTGTGCAGAGAGCAATGATAGCAAATAACGTACGAATGTTTTTTGCATTCAAAGGACACCCACATCTGCTGGAAGACTTTAAGTGAGTTTTGTTCTTAGATAACCCACGTTAGCTGAATGTGTTAAGTGAAACGATACTTGTATTTCCCCTACCCCTTTGTCAACTGCTGTGAATGCTGTATGGTGTGTGTTCTCTTCTGTTATTGATCTGTAAGTGTGGTAATGTGAACTGAAGCTGATGGGTTGAGAACATGGACTGAGCTTGTGGTGTGCTTTGCAGGAGTACTTGGAAGCAGAGTTCACCAGTGAGCTCGGGGTGTCTCAAAATAGGGTGGAAGTTCTAATGTCTGTTAGCTACCCATAAGAATGCTGTTTGCTGCAGTTCTGTGTCCTGTGCTTGGATGCTTTTTATAAGAGTTGTCAATGTTGGAAATTCTTAAATAAAACTGATTTAAATAATATGTGTCTTTGTTTTGCAGCCCTGAATGCAAAGAATTCATAGCAGTTAATTCCCCTTTTTTGACCCTTTTGAGATGGAACTTTCATAAAGTTTCTTGGCAGTAGTTTATTTTGCTTCAAATAAACTTATTTGAAAAGTTGTCTCAAGTCAAATGGATTCATCACCTGTCATGCATTGACACCTGATACCCAGACTTAATTGCTATTTGTTCTTGCATTGTCCAAAGTGAAAAGTTTTTTTTTTTCTTTTTAAATCTAGTTTTTAATAAGTCTGGGTGACCGCACCTAAAATGGTAAGCAGTACCCTCCAGCTTTTTCTTAGTGCCTCTGTGCATTTGGGTGATGTTCTATTTACATGGCCTGTTATAAATCTCCATTGGGAAATCATGCCTTCTAAAAATACTCTTATTTGGCGGAGTGGGCAAAACAATGGTAATTATTTTAAAATGCTTTGTAGCAAAGCCTATCAATTGAAGGGACTGTCAGCACCTTTCTAGTTGGGGATTTGAAAAGTGGAATTAATTGCAATAGGGATAAAGTAGAAGAAACCACAAATTATCTTGTGCCTGAAATCCATTAAGAAGCCTGATAGCTTTAAGAACTAGCAGGGTGGGTTGTCTGTCTGTGGAAGTGTTAAGTGAAATGGGCTTTGTCTTCCAAAGGTGGGGAAATAGAGTAATGTTGAATAAAATCGCTTATAAAACTCAGATTAGACTCTCACGATGCATTGTTAAGTATGTAAAAGCAATAATATATTCTCTGTTGTACTTAAAATGTAACTAACTTCTATGAGAGTTGAGCTCCTTTTCTAATGGAAGAATGTAAGTTTTTGTGCTGATAATTTACTTGATGCCCTTATCTAATTAGATTATGATAAATAGGTTTGTCATTTTGCAAGTTACATGTTTTAAACTTAAAAATGAAGTCGTCCTTTAGACTTACGGTCGCCACATTGTTTTATTCAGTTTCATCTGTAAAAGGATCTTGCGTTGTTTTAATTTTTTTTTTTTCTGCATCTAAATTGCATGATTTCCAAATCCTGTACCATCTGAATTTTGCATTTTAGCACTTGCACTGTTACTCAGCAGCAGTAACATGGTAACACTTAAAATGGTATTCGGGGACCTCCAAAGACTAAACTGACAAGCCTTCAAGGAGCCCAGGGGTAAGTTATCTTTGTCAATGGCATGGTTTTGATCCCTTATTTACACTTGTGTAAATCTAGTTACCAGTCTTAGAAGGCTTTCAATGTTGACTAGCCTTCTGTTAACATGTTTATGGTACTGCATAGCTATGGGTATTTAATTCTACCCTAAAGAAAAAAAAAATGAAGTTTAGAAGTAAACTATTTGGCAGAGATTTGTTTTTAAAGTCTATTTGATCATCTAAATGCATTCATTCTAAAAAATTTTTGAACCAGTTGAATAAAAATTTTTGTTGCCACCACAGTTTAGTGTCTGGAGTCTTACTGGAAAAACAGTTTCTTTTTGTTTTTAATGTGACAAAGATGCTGGAAAGTTACCTTTAAAAAGTGAGTCTCAAGAAGTTGCACTTCATATGCACAAGAGAAGTTAGTCAAAACTCACAATGAATTTCTACATATAATGGTAACTGTTTGGCTAGAATGAAAAAGTTTGTTAAATGTTAAGTATTAAAGCTTTTTAGGGAAGAATGGCCAGCTAAATGAAATGAGATTTTTAAGGTTAAGTCAGAGCTTAAATGCTGTCCTTAGGAAAAAGATGTTGAGTACTTAGTAATTCAGAAGATGTATGTGATAATTAGAATAATTTTTTGTTGTTGAATACTAGGAGAGAAACTCTTAACTGTGTATTTAAGTTCTGTACTTAGCTGTTGTACGATCTGTAATCTATTTTTAAATGTGCCCAAGTATTCCACATTCGTGGTAAGAAGGAAAAAAACACTACAGATTGATTTATCAATAATACCGCCACTTATTTTTAATGTTGTATTTCATCTTATGGAAATGCCACATTTGATTCAACTGTCTTCTGAATTTGAAAATAAAATATTTATTCCAAGTGCTAGGAACATCCTCACAGCTAAATTAAAATCTTAGCATTGGAATTACCAGGTCAAAGACTATGCATGCTTTTAAGACTTGTGGAATAGATTTGCCAAATTGTCCTTCAGAAAATTCATCGCCTTCGACAGTGTGAACTGGTGCTGTTCCATGCTCTTCTTTTCTGCCAGTTTGAGAAGTGAAAAATTATAGCATCGCTTTTAACATGGAAATCAGTCTATACCTAGGCCAAAGTATTGATATTTCCAATTTATCTACCCAAGAAAAACATGATTCAAAGTAATTCCTGAACCAATACTGCTATAATATGTAACGCTCTCAGAGAACAATAAGAACAAGTACAAAAACTGGAGAAAAACAGTTAAAGAACATGAACAGGCAATTTCCAGAAATGCACGTGGCCAGTGCAAAAAGACACTGGACTTTTGTAAGTAAGTCCAAATTTAACCAGTGAGTTTCTGTTGGATTGGCAACGGTGAATATCACTACAATGGTTTATGTCCCCTTCAGTCAGAGAGTAAGTGGTGGAAAAGTGGCAAGTGGAGAAGTGCCTGAAAGGCACATCTCACCTGTAGTTTGGTTTGGTTTTGAGGTGGAACAGCAACTGTCGTGTTAATGTTTCTCAGGTCAGTTTGCTGCTGAGGTCTTTTACAGGTATTTTTTAGAACAAAGAATCATGTACTCACTGGAGACACACAAGTTAAAAACTATTAATTATGTTCTTGATCCAGGGAAGATAGTTAATGACTTTTGTGTAGACCCCATACTGATCTGCCTCCCCACAACTGATGGAACCCCAGGACACTATTCCTCCCACAAACCATTTCTGTGTCTCATTATGTAGAAACACTAATGCCCCCCCACTGTCGCCTTTACAGCTGTCCTTGCCCCCACTTTCTAAACCAGCACAAAGCATGTTGTCAGTTACCCTTCCCCCCGGATAGGACTTCTTTGCATATGCCGCAGTACAGTTTTGATGGTCAACAACTGGTATGTCAACAAACATTAGATTTCTGGCAAGAAAACCCCTTTGGGTTAATCCCCATCCAGATGCAGTTCCAATATCATTGGTTCTCATGAAGCATTCAGCTTCTTTTCTTGGCAAACAAATAGGCATGATGTTTCTATTTAATACAACTTTGTTCTTCAATTTAATCAATGCTATGTCATTATCGTAACCAGCATTATGAGTGTAACGTTCATGTATAAAAATGGCCTCGGCCCAGGCTTGTGTATAATGAGGTGACAGTCTCTTCAGGGCACCCATTCTAATGTCTAGGGAGGCGGCGTCTTCTCTTTGCTCATATACAGCATGAGCAGCTGTTAGGATCCAGTTGTCATATAGAAGTGCACCTGCTGCTATAGTTTTACCTAATAACAGGGCTTGCCAAGGAAAATCGCCAAGCTTTGCATTTTGTCCTCCATATATACGACCTTCTGTGGTACGGGTGGATATTCCACAAACTGGGGGAAAAAAGATGTATAGAGCCTTTATAGAAACCCGATGGTGTTTTTTCTCCAATTATTACCACTTTGGAGTTGTGTATATGTAATGTCAACCAAAAATTGCATCACATAATTTGGTGGGTGTCCACCTATACAGGCAAGTGAGACTGCTTAAAACACTGTTCAAAGACCTGATAAAACCATTTGGTATTTTTTAGCTCTGCAGAAAATGAGGTGAGTGAAAATTAACTTTTAGAAACTGATTTGTTTTGGTAAAATAATTTGGTCTCGCAATTGGGAAAATATTTAATAGGGCAAACAGGAATTGTCTGAGCTGATGTGCGTAGGAAGTGAAAAATAACCTTTTCATTGCTTCTGTCTTCCAACTTGTAAAATGGGGTATTTACCATGTAGTTCTGGGAAAGCAGAAACTAAGGTCACTATCATAGGATTTGCAGAATTACTTTCACCTTTGTACATTAAAATGTTTTTTAAAAATTAGAATGTTGCAGTTGTAGCCAGGAACCTTTAGGTTCAGAAATTATTTTGGGTCTAGTTGTTTCTTCCAAACACTAAACTTTATTATGTATTGCTAACTAAATATGCTCATAAATGTAGCAAATATGTTTCCTGTTGTGGCAGAATACTCTTATTAAAGCTTACAAACATTGTTGTCAGCTAAGATGCAGGTTTTTAAAAAAGACTAATTTAAGCCAAATAGCACAGGGGTGATGAGTATATTATTACCTTTCTGATTTTTTTTTTAAGCACTCAACTATATCTTCAGAGCAGATTCTGGTAAAACTTTTTTTTAAGTACTGTTAAAAGGCAAATTGCATTAATGTTTAAAAACTAGATGTCATTGAAAACAATTGCTTAGGGAAATAATGAGGTTATTAGCTTTGGGTTTTAATAGCATTTTTAAAGAGAAGAAATCATGTTTATAAATGTATAAATGGTTCAAGATAATTTTAAAAATCATTTAATTTTTTATGCTTGCCTAGTTGTAAGGTCAAAAATAATCAAATGACTGATACAGTCAGCACCAACAACCTCTCCATATGGAAGGGGTAATGAGAACATACTATTTGGAAATAATAAGCTGGTCTAAGAGCCAAGTGCTGAAGTTACATTTCTGCCTACACAGCTGAAGCACTACTTACTGTCTGCTACCCAGTTCTACTTTCCATCAGTTATGAATCTCGTGTATAAATGTATCCATTACCAGGCTCACAGACAGGGGGTGATTTTTCTCCTTTGGAGCTCGTCCAGAATCCATCAGCCTCACACACATATTTACCTGCAAATCATTGAAAGAGCAAAAATGTTTAACTGCATGTGCAAAGGTGGTTGTCATTTGCTTGAATACCCCCTCGAAAATGCAGATTCCTGAGCATCAGTGGGAAACAGAGGCGTCTGAATAACCATTTTACATGATTTCATAAATAGGAGGTCTCTGCATTACCATGTATGCTTGCAAAGTGGAAACCTTTTAGATGTGTAACTTGAATATGTATCAAGATCTTAAGTGCTTAATGATAAGGTTTTGACTTGTTAAATTAAACCATTTGGAATATATTGTGTGTTTGTAGTAGTCATTTACTAGGTAAGATCTGTTTTCAGATTCTTGCAAATTGACATTAAAGTCACTTCAGCTATAATATTTCACTTCGCAGGTGGAAGAAGTGCCTTTTAATCTTTTGTCTAGCCTTAGCCAGAAATGTTGGCTAAGTCTATTCTCAGATCATGAGGGCTTAGGTTCCAAATATCACCCACCCCCAACTTTGAACAATTTGCTTACCATCATCTGTTCTCATTGTGTAGAACTCATTACAGCGATATTTAACCACAGCTTTGTATATGGTCACCTCGGCACCCGTTATATAGTCCACTTGGCCACTGGGTAGGTCATCAGGAGGGCCACAGTCAACAACTAATAAACACGGGAGAGGGAAAGTCAGTTTGTACTTTGAATCCTAACATTAAAACGATGTGGAGACTGATAGTGGTTGTGCTCTGTGTTGTTATAACTTGAAGTCATATTCAAGATGGACATCATTTCATCTCTGAAAATGGAGAGAATCACCTTAGTGTGATTTGAAAGCATCACTCTCATCTCTGTTCCTAACTAAATGGCTAGGTTGAAGTGAAGGCCCTAGGCAAGGAGTTGTATGATGCCTTCCCTAAAGGAAGGGAATTTGAAACTACTTGGACTTCTTAGCACTCACGAAAGAAAACAGCACAGGCTGCATATGCCTATACAGTCTGGTTTGATGTTAAATGGTACAATTTGGTTAGCCTAAAAAATAGAACAAAGAAGACCGAAGAACTTGTTCTTATGATCCTTTCCCTAAGTTGACCTTTTTAGAAGACCTGGAAGTCATAATACCTTGAGTTTGGGTTAGAATTCACAACTGTTAGGACATTACTAATGTGACATAACCAATTTGTGAGACAAAGTGATACCAGTCTAAAAGTCATAGTTTTGTACACAGACATCTAAAAATTGTTGATGTACTTCTGTGGATTTTAAAAGGTAAATCGTTTTTAGCAACTTAATAGCAGTGTGTCTGGCTTTGTGTCAAGAGCGTTGTCTACGTTGCCTTAATTCTCCACAGATGAGATGCCCGTAACTACCCAGTGAAAAGTGGCAGAATCAGGGCTCTAACCCATACCTTAGTCCAACAGTCCTTCGGTGCCAGCTCTTTACTGGTTTTTAAACTAAAAGAATTGGTAGTAAAGAATTGGTAGTCTCACGGGAATATAAATTTTGAAATAAAAATATTCCCCTAGGAATTTCGTAGAAACCCTTGCAAAAAAATATGTGAAAGTAGGGACTTCCCTGCTGGTGCAGTGGTTAGGAGTCCACCTGCCAATGCAGGGGACGCGGGTTTGAGCCCTGGTCCGGGAGGATCCCACATGCCACGGAGCAAGTAGGCCCGTGTGGCACAACTACTGGGCCTGCGCTCTGGAGAACGCGAGCCACAACTACTGAGGCCTGCACGCCTGGAGCCTGTGCTTTGCAACGGGAGAGGCCACTGCAGTGAGGGGACAGTGTGCCGTGGCGGAGAGTAGCCCCCGCTCAGTGCAACTAGAGGAAGCCTGTGCACAACAACGAAGACCCAATGCAGCCAAAAACTAAATTTATTTTTAAAAAATATGTGAAAGTATACTATGGCAGCATATGTAATAGTAAACTGGAAACAATAGAAATCACATGAAACAAAAAGCATAGGTCCTCTGATGGAATACTATGCAGTCATTAAAAAGAAGGAGCAGCTCTACGAGTGCTTGGATTGTTGTGGAACGATAACCCAACAATGTTGGGGGGAAGAGTACATTGCAGTCAGATTTAGCTCAAAAGTAAGTGAGATATGTTAGTATAAATAGTATAGGAAATAAAGAGTAAGAAGGAATGGATCCCAGTGTCTTACAGGTAGTTTGAGGATTTGGGCAAGAGAGGCTTTCACTGTATATTTTTGTGAATTTATATGGTTTTTCCATTTAACACGTATCATAATTTTAAAAATATTAAAAATAAGGTACGTGATTCTTAGTTCACAAAATGGTAGTGAACACCATTATCCCAGTTTGATGCGTATATGCCCCTACAAACAGTAGCCTGTACATGTTTACATGTGTGATATATGTAATTGGAGGGCTATGCACCAAAATAACGAGAGTGACTATACTCTGATACGGCGGGATTATGAGTATTATAATGTTTGTAATTTTCTCTATTTCCCATCTTTTATGAGTATTTTATACTTAGAAAAATATTTTTAAATACCATACTTTTCTGAAGCAAATACTTTTTCTAGTAGCTTGGTCCTGTTTTAACCTCTTAAAAGTGCTCTGAGAGACTGAGGATGAGAAGCAAATTTGGAATTCAGGCCCTGATAAATCATTCTTTAAATACCAGAAGCAGCAGTAGTAGCAGAAGCAGCTACAGGCGTTGTGGTCACACATACGTACTGCTGCACTCCGGCATCGGTTGGTCCCAAGATCCATCTGTCTGACAGACTGCAACAAATGATTTCAGGGGCCAATAACCCTAAAGAGGAATTGAGAAAATATTAATTTCCTTGTTTATATCAGGAAACCACTCCCCAAAGCTCTGCTCCCACGATAGTTCTTCTTCGAGTGTTTCAAGACATGCTCCCAAGGGGGTGATGCACCCACATGACTGGACACGCAGCCCAACTGCCTTGATACATGTGTGTACTTGTTGGTGATGTCACCTATGTGTGTGTATCAGTTTTAAAGATGTTGACCTCTGCAGCAGTTTATATTTTCTGCTTTCCACTTAATCCAAGAATACGTCAGATTTCTCACAAGTTCCTGCTGGTGTTCCACCATTTCTTTATGTAAAGTGCCAAAGGGTGACAGTCAAAAGTTTGGGGAAGATCAGCCTGATCAGATATGGATGTGTCTGGATTTTTCTAGCCTGCGGCTATTAACTGGAGGAAAGTTATTTAAAATATCAATATTTCCAGAAGCTTCGCATGTGTGTCCTCAATCACTTTCCATTGCTAATATTTAACGGGACATTTTTGACTTATTTAAATATTTTTCTAAAATCAGACTTTAAAATGAAAGAAGGTGGCTTTGACTGAAGCTTTATGCTTCGAAGGAGAGCAGGATGACTTCTTTTTTCCTCAGAAACTGAACAGGCTTGGGTCCAAGTTGCTGTGGAAAGAGCCCGCCGAGGAGTTTACAAGCTGAGCAAAGTGTCTCACTTTTTTGAGGGTCGGGGGTGGTTGTCCCTCCACAGGACTGGTTGCATAACCAGCTATCTTTTCAGTGTTATTGCTTTTTACCACTGGGATTCAGTGACAGTTTGAAGAACATAAAGAGGGCATGTGAATCTCTAACCTGTGCCCCTAAAGAAACACACTAAGCATTTTTTGAAATTATCCTCCTTCTCCCTTAACAGTGGTCACTGTTTATAACTTTGCAGAATATACTGTTTCCAAGGGCCATTTAATTTTTTTGTGGGCCCAGGAGTTGTTTCATGTAAAGGTCATTTGACCAGGAGGAGCTTGATTTAATGCAAGGTGATAACACAGAGCACATGACCAACATTTCAGCTGCTTTACCAAGAGCTGCTGTAATGTGTGTGAACAGAGAAAAGGTGTTCATTTTAATCGCCAGCTTTCAAAAAAAAAAGAAAAAGAAAAAGTTTTTTTAAAAAGCGGAGCTATGGGCTTCCCTGGTGGCGCAGTGGTTGAGAATCCGCCTGCCAGTGCAGGGGACACGGGTTCGAGCCCTGGTCCGGGAAGACCCCACATGCCGCGGAGCAACTGGGCCCGTGGGCCACAGCTACTGAGCCTGTGCTCCAGGGCCCACGAGCCGTAACTACTGAGCCTGCATGCCACAACTACTGGATCCCGCGCACCTGGTGCCCGTGCTGTACAACAAGAGAAGCCACCGAAACAACAAAGAGTAGCGCCCCCCTCGCCGCAACTAGAGAAAACCCATGCACAGCAACAAAGACCCAACGCAGCCAAAAATAATAAATTTAAAAAAAATTTTAAAAAGCGGAGTTCCTAAGAATAGAAAATTCTCTAGAGCCGTTTCTCTTAGCAAATGTATCATTTCTTTGAATTTTATTGTTTAATCATAGGCAAAGTAAACCACCATGCTGACAACAGCTGTTTCCCCATTTTCCTTTCACATATTTGCTGATATAAATATGTATTCATTCAAAAACCATCATGATTGTGGTGCACTTAAACAGCTTTGTATTAACTTACTTGCAGAAGTTCGTAGCCCGACTCGCAGAAGACAAAGAAGCGGTCTTTCATGATGTATGTGGCCTGCACAGGGGAGATGTGGCCGTTAGGTGGTGCCGTCGGGTCAGGGCAGGGCTGAGCTGCGCAAGGAAACCAGATGTCGGGGGTTTAGCTGGCTCTATAGCAGCAAGTCTGAATTTAGCAATTAGAAGTTCTTGGTTTATACATGAAACAACGTGTAAAGAGAGCTTGCCACAGTGGGGTGGAGTTCTTAAGATTTAAAACCAAAGGCAAGATTAAACTCTTCGCTGCTTATCGTACAAATTAGGATTTGTCTCCTGGCCTGGGCTTCAGCCAAAGTGATGAAAAGAAAGCCGGGAACGTGGTAAGGGAGCATGGTCACGGCAAAGGGAGCATCTGCTCCACGCCAGGGGCCTCACACACACTGCTGAAAACCGGGGGAGTGTAACTTGGGGAAAGAGCTGGACAGCATGGGTTAAAATCACAGGAAATCCTCAGTTTCCTCATCTGTAAGCTGAGAGTGATAAGAACGTTTGCTCAGCTTCTAAGGCCGTTGCGAGGACCAAATGTGAAGCACAGAGGAAATCGCTTTGCTAATAAGGGCTGGGCAACAGGGGGTTGCAGCCAGCGAACCCTCACAGCAGCCCCTGTGGCTCAGAGAGGCACCGGGGCTCAGGGCCAGACTGGCACTCAGGAAGCCTCATACATCCCTCGTGAGCACGTGCCCACAGGGCTCACGGCTGGCTTCCACTTTGGCCCCCAAACCCTGGCCTGTTGTCACCCCAAGCCTTCAGCCAGTGCCCCATGGCTGCCCATCACCCAAGGCCACCCCTCAGCCCATGCAGGTCATTTGCCCAGTCCCCTGCTTCCTCCAGCAGCTGACCCCTGTGTCCTGCAGCGACTCTCAGTCCCAGGCAGGCCCCAGAGTCTCCCCTCTTGGAACCAATCTCCAGGGATGTTCCAGGTGGCCCTGTCGGGGCCAGGGCTTCCCGAGGCTACCTCATACCCAGGCCAGGGCCCTGCTGGCATTTCCCTTCACACACACCTCCAGGCTCTGTCCTGGCCCCTTCTCACCCACCAGCCTGGCAAACCTGACTCTTCCCTCTGACTCACTCTGAAACCAGTGCTTCAGTTTTAGAAGTTTTATTACTTCGACCCACAGGAAAACAAAAGGCTTTTAAAATATGAACAAGAAGCAAATGAAATGTTCCCAAAGTGCTGGTCTCTCCCCTACTGACCCGTCTCCCACCCTTTCCCACAGAGCTGGCCCAAAGGTTAATATCTTTCCTAATTCAATCTCATTTTTAAAATTACTCAACACCTCCTCCATGCTCACTCGGTGTCTTCTGCGTTAGCCCACTAATCCCCACCTTTCCAAGGAGCTTTGTCCTTCATTGGATAATTGCGACATTAAGTCTCAGAAAAGTTATGTTAAGAGGTTCAATGTCACATGGCCAGGAAACAGGATGCATTACAGCCGGGACGCCAACCCGGGCAGTCTGACACCCAGCCTGCGCTCGGAGCACGGCTTGGGGCCTTGGCGCTTCTCCAGCTCAGCTACTCTGTCTTTCCAAAAACATCCTGAAAGACCTGTTGGCTGAGAGTGGTGAGAGGGACAGACAGGTCCAGAGGTCAGTGCCCGAAGGTGGGGGGCTTGGACTCGTGCCTCAGGAGGTGGCACCACGAACTACCGTCTACGTCTGAGGGTCTGTCACGAGGAAGAGGCGGTGGAGGAGGGTCTGAGAGGCAGAGTGCAGACTCCCTGTCCAAACCCTCCATGTCAGGCGGGAGTCCCCATCTCTGCCTACCCCATCACACCCTCTTACAGCTCACACCAAGAAAGTCGGAGCCTCTGGGCTTTTGCACATACACTTCCCTTGCACTTGGAACACCCTTCCACCTTCCTCCAATACCTACTTGTCCTTTCAATCCAATCTCGTATGTTTCGTGTCCCAGGCCCCTTTTGTTAGCACCCGGCCCCTGCCTGGGCCAGGTCCCTCCTCTGGACTCTCACTGTGTCTGGTGCTCGGCTGTGCTTGTCACAGGGCTGTGGTCATGGTGCTGTGACTAGACTGGACTGACAGCAGAGGTATTACGTATTCCCCACACAGGGCCCAGTGCACATCCATAAGATGGATGGATGGATGGAAGGAGGGAAGGATGGACAGATGGATGTGTGTGAGGGGTGGCATGAACATGACTTGGCATAAGGATTATAGCTGTCCCGCGATGTCTGCGGGGCATTGGTTCCAGGAGCCCCGTGGATACCAAAATCTGCGGTTGCTCAAGTCCCTTATACAAAGTGGCAGAGGGAACGCCCTGGCGGTCCAGTGGTTAGGACTCAGCGCTTTCACTGCCGAGGGCATGGGTTCAATCTCTGGTCGGAAAACTAACATCATCCCACAAGCTTCTCGGCCAAAAGAAAAACAAAGGCAGCGTGTCAGCCATCTGTATCCATGGGCTCTACATCCACCGGTGTGGGAAGCCAACTGTATTTTGAGCTGATTATCTTATGAAACAGCAGACACAGGAGAGACTCTGAAAACAGAGTAGAAAGCACCCTTTTCTAAAGGAAATTTACGTTTACAGAGGAAATCTCCATTTGTAAGAGTGTCTCAGAACTCTGTACCAGGAGTAGGAGGACTAAATCACTAGAAACTCTTAAAGGAAAAGACAGAAAATTTTTTTTTTACTAAAATTAAATTTCAAAAGCAATAAAAAGAAGACAGTCTTTAATCTGCATAACGAATCTTACTCTTGCTTACCATGCTTTTCCTGGTCACCTCCTCACAACTGGACTCCCCTGTACCCTTTCTCTCTTTTGTCTTTAGCTGAAGATGTTTAAGCCTGAATTCTAAGCCACCTCTGAGACTCATTTTCCCCTGGGTTATCTCCCACGTATGCACGAGATCTACATGTTCATAAACTTGTGTCTTTTTCTCTCGTTAATGTCTCTTGTTCCCAGCCAAGAATTTGGAAGGGCAGAGGGAAAATTATTATTTCCTCCCCTACAGATGGAAGGAAGGATGGTTGGATGGAGGGGTGAATGGAAGAGGGGAGGGTGAGAGGTAGGGAAGGAGAGGAGGATGTCTGTTTGGATGGGTAAATGGGTAGAAGGAGGGATGGTTGGATGGAGGGGTGAGTGGAAGAGGGGAGGGTGAGAAGTAGGGCAGGAGAGGAGGATGGCTGTTTGGATGGGTAGATGGGTAGAAGGAGGGATGGTTGGATGGAGGGGTGGGTGGGTGGGTGGATGAATGGGGGGGCGACACTTCCCATAGGGGACCCCTGCCTCGCAGACGACCCCACTCAAACCTGGCCTGTCTTCTGATGGAGTTCAGGACACACTACCTCAAAATACGGCACCTTGGCATGTTGACGATTTTAAGCTGGGAGTTTGAGAAAATGGCAGAAGCAGGAAGGTCACTCTGATTCCCCGCCCTTCGCCCTTCTTCCCTGAAGCAGGTCATAAGACCCTCACGTGAGAGGTGTCTGCCCTACACCCAGAGGGAAGCCTTATCACCAAAGACAAAAGGATGCCAAGAACAATCCTAACAGGGCTAAGTTCCCCCACCCCGTTTTCCACCCTTGCTTCATATTCCTCAGCCTATCATACACCTCAGCAAACCTAGCCCAAAAGTGCACAGGTCCAGCTGTCTCTCTGAGTCTTTATTTCCTTACAAAGTCTCCTGTGCCACATAAAATTTACATGACATAAACATGTATGCTTTTTTTTCCTGTTAACCTGTCAGGTTGCTTTTCAGACCCAGCCAGGAACACTAAGAGGGTTAAGAAAAACTTTTCCCTCCCCCACCTTCCCAGGCCCGGCCAGGAAGCGTTCCATCCTGTGTGGCTCCTTGATGTTTCTGGAAGAGCTCCCTGCCGAATTGGAGCCCCACCTGCGCTCACCTGTGCTGTTGTAGTGGATCTTCCAGCCCGTGTGGTCCCCCGACTCATCGGTGGCAAAGGTGATGGTCACAGTGTTGCTCTTAGTTTCAATCCTGTGGGGCAACGTCTTCCCACAAAATGGGCCATATTCCTCCTTGTCTGTTTGAATCTGAAAGTGGAGAGGCCCCTGTCACCTCAGGACCTGCCGGGCCAGGGGGAGGCAGCGGCCAGGGGAACCAGACCTTCAGGGAGTCGTAGGGGCACTGGGTCTCAGGGTGCATCTCCACGTCAAAGGACTCCACGAAGTCCAGGGTGACACGGAACCCCTCCTCCAGGCGGATGCTGTAGGTGCAGCTGGAGAGTTTGGGGTACGGCTGAGGGTATCCAGGGCTGCTGAGCACCCCAGACCGGGCGGTGAAGACCTGGCCTGAGCACAGGGCTGGGGAGAGGGGAGAGGACAGGCGGGGTGAGCCAGGCGCAGGCGGCGTGGCTCAGGCCACCTGTCCACTGTCACATGCCAGCCCCAGAGGCATCTCCTGAGACTGAACGCCCCACCCAGTGGCTGAAGGGACAATTTAGGGAGGGGTCTCTCTGGCTTCCAGGATTTAGCTGAAACAAGTGACCCTTGGAGGTACATTCTCCAGGGGCCCCACTCACAACCCCAGGGAGGATGGAGGCCCTTAGCTGAGGCTCCTGGTGTGGGGAACCCTGGGCCAGAGTCACAGTTCCAGGGGTGCGGGGAGTGAGCCATGTCAGGGTCTGCCTGGGGGAAAGGGGCACCAGAAGTGAAGGGGACTTTCCTGTTCCCAGGAATTTGGTGTGGGGAGGTGGCAGGAGAGGAGTCTCCCCTGGGCCCCCTCCAGGAACACTCAGGAAGGCCTCCCCTTGCCCACCTTCCCTGGGTCTAGGCTCTGCCCTGGGGGGCAATTGAGGGCAGTTCAAGTCCACACTGATCATAAGTGAGTCTGGTACCCACTTTCCCCAGTGAAACAGCTGATTCTGCCTTTGCAAAGAGAATGTCTGTTGGCATCACTCGTAGGAGGGTTCTACCCCCCCATCCCCCAGGTGGCAGAGGTGGGGACACAGGCATTCCAGGAAGTGAGGAGTCCCAGCACTGCCTTTCTTCTTCCACGTGGCTGCTCCCCATGGGACAGAGGGAGTCACCCCCGGATGTGGGGGACCAACCAGACTGCCCATCAGTGAATCGATACCTCCTTGGGCCTCTCTGCTCGGGGTCAGACTCCCCCTCCCCAGCACACCCAGGACCTGAGGTATCCTCTGAACAGGAGGTGGACCCCAGGATGCTTTGAGCTCAGTCCTTGGATTCCTGGTGGGGGAGTAGCTAGAGCTCGGTTCCCCTGTGTGAGCCCCCTGCCCCTCTCTGGGCCTCGGTGCCCCATCATCAAAATGAGGGTGAGGACAGAGCAAGCCCCTCTGGCAAAGGAGCCTGTGGCCCCATAGAGGCGGCTCCCACCAACTAGGGCCCCTCGGGCTGAGGTGAGGGTGGGAAGGAAGGGGGTCCAGAGTGCACACTGCTGCCCTCCCCTCACCCTTCCCCCCCAGAGACACGCAGCAGGTGGAGGTGGAGCCGAGTTTATTGTTAGGTCCGTGGGCGGGGTCAATGGGGGCTGCAGGCTGCAGCGGTCTTGCCCGAGTCAGACCGGAGCCGGAGGGCAGGCTAGAGGCTCTGCTCTGGAAGAGAGAACAGAGACGGGGAGAGACACGGGGGAGGGCACTGAGCAGGGGAGCGGGCTCAGCACCAAGGGTGGGGGCTGCTCGCTCCCAGAGCGCCAGCTGGTTTTCTGTCCAGGCCCCCGTCAGGGGCGCAGAGGGGAGTCCGGGCCGTGGAGGCCAAAGGGGTTGGCCTGCTGGGGGCTGAACCGGCAGCTTTGAGCTGAAGTTTCATGGAGGGAAGCTTGTGTGAGGCAGGCCTAGGGCCCCCACTCCTTCATGCTGAAGCCCCCCAAGGAGGATGAGTCCTGATTGGCCAGGTACACAGTGAGGGCCGACCACATGCTCACCAAGTGAATGAGCTGAGGAGGAGTGAGAGTGAGCCAAGGACAGGGTGGAGGCAGGTGAGGAGCTGGAGAACGTGGATGGATGAGTGCTTAGGTGGGGGGATGGGTGGATGGATGGGTGGGGGGATGAGTGGGGGGATGGGTGGGGG